TTTCTTTTTCTTTCCTTTCTTTCTTTTTCTTTCCTTTCTTTCTTTTTTCATTTCTTTTTATTTATTTTCTTTCTTTCTTTCTCTCTCTCCCCTTCCCTTCCTCCTTCCCTCCCCCTTGGAATTCCTGACTTTAAAAAAAAATCAAATTTAACAACTGAAAAAATCCTTGCGTTAAAAACTAAAGACATCTTGAGAAACTTGGCTACTCTGTGAGTTTTCAACCACCCTTCTTTGTAAAAAAAAAATGTCGTATTTTTCATTTTGGTGGTCATCAGTGGTCAGCATAGAGGAAGTGTTCCAGGAATGGTAGTGGCAGTAGCTCCCACATGGTCCACCCACCCCAGTCCACGTGCTGAACCCATACCATGCATTGAAATGGGACGTTGAGGAGGGCGGGGTGGGACGCGATCCCTGCTCCTGCGAGGTAGACTGGCGGTCCGTTGCAGTCCAATCGAACCCTGAGAAGGGGAAGCACAGAATATAAAGGGAGTCTCCTTTAGCAGCAGTTTGGATGAGTAACCAGGCCTTCCCAGGATGCAATTTGTTTCTCCATCTTTTGTGGGTCTTTGATCTTGTCTTAATCTGTTCCTGAACTCGCTGATTAGTTGAATTCTGGATGCATCTCATGGAAACAGAATCCTGATCTGCTTCAAAATGCTAGCTTGGATCACACATCTACTTCACCCAGATCAGCTAATTATGAACAGTTGCAATGCTATACTGGGTTGCTGGCTGGGGAATTCTGGGAGTTGAAGTCCATATATCTTAAAGTGGCCAAGGTTAAGAAACACTATTCTATAGAAATTATTACTCTGTTCCTTTAAGACCCCTTTTTCCTTATGCAGAGTTAAGCAATGCAACTTTAGTATTAAGTCATGCTAAAACTTTTGGGGATTTCTCTGTTAAGCCTATTCTTCCTGTTTAGCATCTTTGGTCTGGGAGCAGTAATCATTTTTAAGATCATTAATCATTTTTAAGATCATTGCGCTAAGTTTACATGTTATTTTTTCAGCTGTTTACAGTAATTGTTTTTAAACATTTGGGGAGGACAGAGGCAGAAAGTTCATGGAAGAACATTCACATCCCTTAAACATTATTTTTAATGGTAACCCAAATCAATGTAAGGATGGTTTCCATTGTTTTTGGTAGCAGAAGCCAGCAGCTGGAATGGAAACCTCAAAATTCAAAATTCTTCTTTATATTCTATTATTAGATATTGTAAAAATTCCCTTTTGAAATATTCCCAGCAAATGTTGGTAATCTAGGGTCAATTCAAGCTTTTCCAAAAGCTTAAGTATTGTTCAAATATTGCCATAATATATATGTTTCTTTTTATTTTATCTTTTTTTTTAATTTCCTGAATAGCAAACATCCATTAAAAGTTACCAGGGATAACAACAAATCTATTTTAACCTTGGTCAAATAAGCCAACCTTATATTCTTTTACCTTTAACAAAGATCAAGACTGTTAAAAAGTAAAAGGAAAGAATACTGTTGTCGTATGTTTACTGTATTTCCTTGGGTACAGGATAATTGGTCCAGGGGTGGGACCCTACCAGCATAACAACTGGTTCAGGGAGAGCACGCATGCACGCTACCAGCTCCGGCAAGCATTCATCAGCTGACGAGCGGCACTCAGCAGTGCCACGCAAAGCAGCCGAGGAGGTAAAAGCATAGGATAAAAGACAGCCTAAAGCTCAAGTGGGCAGGTGGGCCAAACAGACGACCAAATGGTCATTGCAGCGAACCGATTTGGTGCCAGCTGCTCTTCGGAGCTATCAGTTCTATAGAACCGGGCCAAACCAGTAGCATCCCACCCCTGAATTGGTCCCATTACTCACAGGCACCAAAAAGACTCTGTCTGTCAGGGCTCCGGCAGTTACTCCAATTAAATCATGAGCCTCGAACCACGCTCCCAAAACTAAAGAGGATTTATTCGAAGGTACCATTCTACGTCCGGCACTAACCTGGCTGTAGCCAACTCTGAGATACATAATTCACTGTCACCCTTGATCCTGCTTTACCCCCCACCCCTTTGGGTGTATCATCCAATGAAAAACGTCCATAGCCACGAGTCATCAATCATGCTCTCCAGTTAGATTTTTTTCGTGGCAGAAGCTTCAGCCATCTAATCAGTCTTTGAAGAAAATTTGAATGGAATGTACTTTCGATTCCACACTGTTGCCTGCTCTTTGAAACTCCCCCCCCTTCTTTCTGTTGTCAACTATAAAAAGTGTATACAAAACGTTTTATGAGTTGACACTGACACGGCTACTTTTGATATAAATTCTTTAACCATAAGTTTTGTAATACAGGTAGTCCTTGGCTTACAATAGTTCATTTAGTGACTGTTTGAAGTTACAACGGCACTGAAAAAAAGCGACTTACGGGCGCTTTTCACACTTTCAAACCGTTGCAGCATCCCCATGGTCATGTGAACAAAATTCAGCCATTTGGCAACTGACTCATATTTATGACGGTTGCAGTGTCCAGGGTCATGTGATCAACTTTTGCAACTTTCTGACAATAGGGAAGCCAAACTCACTTAACAACCATGTTGCTAACTTAACAACTACAGTGATTCACTTAACAACTGTGGCAAGAAAGGTCGTAAAAGGGGGCAAAACTCGCTAAACAAGTGTCTCATTCATTTGGGATTCAATTGTGGTTGTAAGTTGAGGACTAGCTGTATTGCAGCTTATGGAAGCTTTTTTGAGAGGAAAAGCCAACATATGTCTATGCAGATTCTCAGTCTTCCAGATCATGGTTGTTCCAAAGGTGCTTTTTCAAGAGGCAACTGGACTTTTTGGTCCAATTGTCTCTTGAAAAAAACACCTTTGGGAAAAACCAACATAGAAATCCGCAATAAAACGGATCAATAAATGTTGATTAGGCACTTTCTCTCAAAAGCAACAGATATAATGGGAGAAAAAAAAATACCACACACAATACAAATCTTAATTTTCTGGAAAAATTTCAGCACATGTGAAAGGACAGCACTGAAAATTAACCCAAGCCAAAGAGGCAAGGACATACCTTGACAGAACTGCAGACGGAAAAGACACAGGAGGACGAATCCGACTGGTCGGAGCCCAAGACAATGACCTTCCGATCCGTTTTTTGGGTAAAAGTCAGCTGCAAGGAAACAGACACTTATCAATGTGAGCATCACTGCTTGGAAGAAGGGTGGGTATAGAACAGGGGGCCCCAAACTTGGCAACTTTAAGACTTGTGGACTTCAACTAGCTGGCTGGAGAATTCTGGAGAATTCTGGGAGTTGAAGTCCACAAGTCTTAAAGTTGCCAAGTTTGGAGACCTCGGGTTTTCCAAGTATGAAATGCCAAATCCAAGAAAGCCCTTCAGATGTTGCTGAACTTCAACCCTGGGACATCTGGAAGTCCCCGCCATCCCCATTCTCGGGTCTAGAGCCAAACGAGCATGAGAAGGGACTTAAAGACTGAATTTGCTTAACTGTGTTAATCGAGGCTAAAAAGGCGGCTGGATTCCTCCTATTGTGGGATTCCAGTTCTTGTATTGGCACCGGGTCATAAACTTAGAAAGTGTATGCTATGAGAACATTGGGTTTTTACTAGTCCAGGTATAAAAATTCAGGCCTATCCTAGCAGGGTTTTCCCCTTTCATAGGACCTGACTGCTTCTTCTACATCTTCACATGCTCTTCCCACAACCTGTGAAGCAGCTCAGCTAAAACCCCTCGCGAGCTTCGTGGCTTTTTGACATCCATGCAAACCAATTCTACTACTTTCCTAGTAGTAAGTCCTTAAAGAAGGTTGGGAGAAAAGGATCAAAGGGGGAAGAAATGTCGATAGCCAGGAATGTTGCTGCTTTAACCCACTTCTCAACATTGCAAAATCCCCCCCCCCTTTTTTTCTTCCAATTACAATACCAGAAGAGACTATTCTGTCGTATATTTCTGTGTTTTTCAGCTCAGCTAATTCGGCAGCACAGCAGATTGCCGCCCCTCCGCTGTCAGGGATCTGACAAATCCACCCCCGTTCAAATCATAAGTCTCTAGCCGCATCTCTCAGAGTAAACAAAAAAGATTTATTAGGAGTGAACAATGCCGGCATTGCCTGGGTGCAGCCGACACTAAGGCACATCATTCATTTCCCCCTTGACCCTAGTCTTTCCCCCAACCTCCTGGATGTATATTCTCCAATGGGACACATCCATAGCCAAGAGTCATCAATCACGCTCTCCAGTAATAATCTTGCGCGCCAACAGCTTCGGGATGCCTAGCAATTATCTGAAGCATTTCAGGAATGCACTCCTTTCCCCCACTCCCTGTTATTATTATTATTAAAAAATAAAACTCATCTACAGTGAAGTCACTTGACTGAGCTTTCTCCAACTTCAGTGTTTCAATGCCCCCCACAAAAGTTGTGCCTGTTAAAATTTCTACTTGCTTTGATTCATTAAAACCATGAAAAAAGGGAACGGGGTATTTTTTTTTTCATCCAGACATGCCCTAATGGGCAGAGTCTACAATGTCCTTCTGAATCTGGAATGCAACCTTGGATGCCCTCAAGAACAGGGAGATAGTATGTATATATAACATACACGTATTAACTGCAGCTAGAATTGTATTTGCACAAAATGTGGAAAGCGGTGAGATTACCATACTTAATATAATATTATATATTTTCATTAGAAGGTATGTTAAGAGGGAGAAATGAATAGAGTTATAATGCTGATTATTAATATTGTAAGATTAGAGAATTATTATCAATATAATGAATATTGTAAATTCTGATTGTAATAGCACAGAAACATTTGTACCCAGATGATGCACTGTTTAATGGAAGATGATATGTTCAAGTTAAAAAAAAGTTACAAACTTAAAAAAAAAAAAAGGAACAGGGAGATAGAAAAGCATTGCCAAGTCCTAGAGAGGCTTACCTGGGTCACACCCTCCTTATTTTCTGACAGGTCCTCCCCATTCGCTGAATACTCCTGGCTCCTATCCATGAGGCGGCTTTTCTCCTAAATGCAGACAAGCAAGGAGTCAGTCATTCTTCGAGAGAGGGAAGTTATTTCACAACGTTTGGAGAAGTTTCTGTTGAAGCACATCTCAGCCTGCTCTATCAGCTACGCTGTGCTGCCTCCTAATGTCAGGACTTGGACCAGTTTTTTTCAAACTTGGCAACTTGAAAGTAGGGAGATGTGTGGACTTCAACTCCCAGAATTCCAGTGGGTGTGTGGACTTTCAACTCCCAGTTCTCAGCTGGCTGGGGAATTCTGGGAGTTGAAGTCCACACACCTCCAGGTTGCCAAGTTTGAAAAACACCAACTTAGACTACGGAGGATAAAATTCCATCCCAAAACTCAAATTCTCCTACACTCTAGGTACAAAAAATTAAAATAAAGCAAGGGTGGATTTGATTTAAATCACGTCGATTTAAATCACGATTTAAATCACTAGTAAAAAAGGCTTGATTTAAATTCACTTGATTTAAATCATAATTTTTAAAGAGCAACTGTCACCTCTGTCCCACAGCAGCTACTCCTCTGACTCACTGTTGACTCACCGACAGTCCCAATATTGCAGAATATAGAGCCTCATATGCTACAGAATTAAGCTCCCTTTCATGCGGAATAAACTAAAGGATTAATGTATCTTAAATAGAAAATTATAGATTTTTACTCCAAAAGCATTTTATTAAAATAAATTTGATCAACATTTTTAAAAAATCTGATTTAAATTTTTTTTAAAAATCTGATTTAAATTTTAAAAAATCCAATTTTCTTTATTATTTTTTAAAAAATATCCACGCTGGCTTCAATACATTAGAACAGGGGTGTCCAACCTTGGCAACTTTAAGACTTGTGGACTTCAACTCCCAGAATTCCTCAGCCAGCAAAGCTTAAAGTTGCCAAGGTTGGACACCCCTGCATTAGAAGTTTCCAGCTTCTGCAGAGTCCTCTGAATGGGCAGAGGGAAACTCGGTGAACTAAAATTCTAGGATTTCACAAAGTGAAATAGACAGTCTTTGGAGAGATCGGAAGTTCCAGGTTGGGTGTCTTAATAGTAATTTTATTTCTTATGTTGAAAACACCTGAGACTTACAGTAGTAAGGAATATCTGCATAGCCAGAGCGTGCTGCAACCAAAGAGTTTCAGACATAATCCTGCACCTGCAGATTCTGTTCATGTAGGATTCATTTTCATTAACTTCAGCTAAAAATATCCCACTGTCTCCATGCTTGTTCCCTTCGTTCATGGAATGTATAAGTGCTCGACTTAAAACCACAACTGGGGCCAGAATTTCTGGTTGCCAAACACCCACATTTTGTTCACATTTTGTCAGTGTGGATGCTGTGACTGTTGTAAGCGCAATAGGTAGTCCTTGACTTACAACACTTCATTTAGTGTCTGTTCAGAGTTACAATGGCACTGAAAAAAGTGACTGATGAGGGTTTTACGCTTATGACCATTGCACTATGTCGATGGTCATGGGATCAAAATTCAGATGCTTGGCAACTGGTTCGTATTTATACAGTTGCTGTGTCCTAGGGTCACGATATCCCCTTTTGCGATCTTCTGACAAGCAAAGATTCACTTAACAACAAGATCACTAACTTATCAATGTCAAGCTTTGAATCAACTGCAGTGATTCACTTAATAACTGGGGCAAGAAAGGGCAAAACTCACTTAACAAATGTCTCACTTAACTACAGAAATTTTGGGCTCAATTGTGATTGTAAATCAGAGGTGGCATTCAGCAGGTTCTGACCAGTTCTGGAGAACCGGTAGCGGAAATTTTGGGTGGTTCGGAGAACTGGCAAATATCACCTCTGACTGGCCCCGCCCCCATCTCTTCTCTGCCTCCCATTGAGTCCCAGCTGATCGGCTGGATCTTCTTTGGTTGCCCTGCATAGGAGAACGGAGCTGGAAAGCAGGTTAGTGGGTTGGGGAGGGAATGGGGATTTTGCAGTAACCTTCCCCAGCCACCCCTACCAAGCCACGCCCACAGAACTAGTAGTAATTTTTTTTGAATCCCACCATTGTTGTAAATCAAGGACTACTTATAGTTGTAGTTGTGTTTTCCCAGTGCTACTGTGACTTTGAACAGTGGCTACATGAGAATGGCTGTAAGTCAAGGACTATCTGTATTTCAGATGTCCAGTTGGGGAAAAACCAAGAGTGGTCCATTCCTTCAGCTCTTGGATCCATGACTAGACCAGCCAACATTTGGAAGAATCAAAACGTTCTTCTAAAACATTTGTCCTGCTCAAAGCCAGGAAAACTGAGCTGGCAGCTTCTAAAGTCACTAGCGCTGTCTGATCTCGAATTCTAATTTGATCTTCCAAGAAGCCTACAAAGCGTACAAATCTAATCCACAGCTCAAGAGGGACATTTCTCCCCAAACAAACCACATCCAGGAACCCAGGGAAACATCCCCCTTGCGATCTCCCCACAGATTAGAAGGAGAAGAAAGTACTTGGTTGAGGGTTTCAAGAACTGGCAAATGTTGAAAGCGTGGGAAAGTGGGGTAGGCAAAAAACAAAGCAAAAAAAAAACTGAGCATGGAAACGGGGATACTCAAAGCTTCTTGGCAGAGGAAAAGGGATTCCGTACCGCATTGAGATGGCTGACAGCCTCTCCCTCTTCTTGTGCAAATCTCTGGCACACACCCATCATTTGTTCTTGTGTTAAAAGGGCTTGGCCTTCCAACTTCTGGACTCTCTTCTGCATGGGTGGAGAGAAACTTGGTGAATTAAAAAATCTAGGATTTCAAGAGAGATAGTAATTCTCCCTGCAGACAGCGCCTGTTCAAAAGTGACAGGTGCCGTTAAAAAAGAAAGAAAAAGAAGAAGAAGAAAAGAAATACAACTGTGGAATCGCCAACCCATTGCAAAATGTTTTGCGGGTGATTCGTCTACTTTTTACAGGGTCTTTGTGGTTAAGTGTGTATTGTCTAAAAAAACACAGTTACAGTACACTACAAAAACCAAAGGATCTCAAGGCAAAAGCAATTTCGCCAACAGCTTAAGATTCTTATAAGATAAAAGAAAATCCATTGTTTTCAATTGTCTTTCTTTTTGAATACTACAAAATTCCAGAATCTCTTTCAAAGCAAACTAGCAAGAATTTAAGACTTGAACCCACTAATTATCTTGTTGCTTAGTTTAGAGCCAGGTTTCTCTAATGACCAAGTTACCGTTCAACCAGATCTAAGTTTGAAGTTAAAATAAAACATTTCCGGAATTATTTGCTATTATTTTGGTGCACAATCTGGGATGTTCGTTTATCAATAACGTCTATCACAAATGAAGCGGAATATATGTGTCCCAGGATAATGTTTCAGGATCCAATCTGGGTTGGTCACCAGGACCAAAGGTTTTGTCTTCTGAGCTTTTGGACTCATGCTAGAGCCCATCTTCAGGGAACTTCTCCCTAGTTAGAACTTCTTTCTTTTGGACTCTTGGTGGAGTCCATCTTCAGGGAACTTCTCTCTGGTTTGGGCTGTTCTATGTGTGGTATTGTGCCCATTGTGTGTGGCTTTTTAGATGCTGATTGGAGTGTTGAAGGCTGGCTATTAAGTCGTTGAAGTTGGTAACGACCCAGATTGGATCCAACAACATCTATATTTCTGCCCTTCCGATCATTTTGACCTTATCTACTCGGTTCCCTCCAAATATATTCAACCAATTTCCATAAATACTAAACGGCGTTTCCTTTGACGGTGCTGGCTCAGCATCATTGGTACTGAGGCAGTGGTGGGATTCAAACATTTTTACTACTGGTCCTGTGGGTGTGGCTTGGTGGGCGGGGCAGGGGAAGGATACTGTAAAATCTCCAGGCAGAGGCGGTATTTGCTACTCAATGTTTCCACTACCGGTTCTCCAGAACTGGTCAGAACCTGCTGAATTCCACTTCTGTACTGAGGTCCAACCAGAGGTGGTATTCAGCAGGTTCTGAATAGTTCTGGAGAACCGGTAGAGGAAATTTTGAGTAGTTTGGAGAACTGGCCAATGCGACCTCTGACTGGCCCCGCCCCCATCTATTCTCTGCCTCCTGAGTCCCAGCTGATTGGCTGGGTCTTCTTTGGTTGCTCTGCACAGGAGAATGGAGCTGGAAAGCAGGTTAGTGGGGTGGGGAGGGAATGGGGATTTGGCAGTATTCTTCCCCTGCCATGTCCACCAAGCCATGCCCACAGAACCGGTAGTAAAAAAATTTGAATCCCACCACTGGGTCCAACCAGATGGAGGAGGATTTTATGGGACAATCGTGGACTGGAAACCGAGGGGAGAAAATTGAGACTAGAACTGGATCACAGGGGATTAAGCTGACCACTTCTCACCTTCCTTTGGTTAATGCTATTCTGCAACTGGGTGATCTCTTCAGTCAGAGCACGACAAACAGCTTCTTTCTCCTCTTCTAGGTGGCTTTCGCGCTCTAGTTGCTGGAACTCCAGGTCTTCATAACATCTCAGGGCTCCTTCTAGCATCTCAGATGTCTAGGAAAGAATTCATGGAATAGAATTCTTTATTGGCCAAGTGTGACTGGGCACACAAGGAATTTGTCTTCCTTGTGCATGAGCTCTCATAAAAAATACATTCATCCCAGAATCATAAGATACAAGACTTAGTGATAGTCATAGGATACTAAATAAGCAATCAAAATCATGCTAGAAAACTAAATAAAACAATATAATCGTAAAGATACAAGCAACAAGGTTATACTCATAAGTAGAAGAGCAGTTACCATCCCTGGATTTCATCTTCTCAAAGAGCATCTTCCAATACGTTAAAAAAAAAGGGTGCATCTGATTCAAAACTCTGAAAAATCCAAGCAGGCAGTGCCATCTCCACTCCGATGATGGAGACCCTAACCACATCTGAAGTCCTTCCACCAAAAATCAGACCTCTCTATATATTCCAAAACCGAGCACATCGCTCAATCTAGGTGGGATCATTTTTGTCAATTTCGACGGATCTCAACAAGCTAAGTCAGGTCAGGCCTGTTTGAACTCACCGCGAAATTCCAATATCAGAGACCAGAATAGGAAGTCAAAGCAACAGGCCAGAAGAAGGCAAGCGCTAACCACCTTCTGAATCAAGGAAAGCGTTCCCGTGTTCTGTCTTACTTATTGGCAAAAAAAATCAGAAAATAAAATACAGGCTGAATAGTCAAGACCTTGTTGATGATCCAAACTCTGTCAAGGATCTTGGAATACTCATCTCTAATGATCTAAGTGCTAGAGCCCACTGTAACTACATAGCCAAAAAGGCATTAAGAGTTGTTAACTTAATCTTATGTAGCTTTTTCTCTGGCAATATTACACTAATAACTAGAGCATACAAAACATTTGCTAGACCAATACTGGAATACAGCTCATCACTCTGGAACCAACATTACGTATCTGATATTAACACAGTTGAGAAAGTCCAGAAATATTTCACAAGAAGAGTTCTCCACTCCTCTACTCGTTGCAGAATATCTTACGCCACCAGACTTGAAATTCTAGACCTAGACAACCTAGAACTACGCCGCCTTCAGTCCGATCTAAGTATAGTATATAAAAATATATATTGCAATGTCCTACCTGTCAATGAATACTTCAGCTTCAACCATAACAATATGAGCAAACAATAGATACAAACTCAAGGTTAATCGCACCAAACTTGATTGCAGGAAATACGACTTCAGCAACAGAGTGGTCAATGTCTGGAATACTCTACCTGACTCTGTGGTTTCTTCCCCAAACCCCAAAAACTTTAACCTTAGACTTTCTACTATTCACCTCACCCCTTCCCTAGGAGGTCAGTAGGGGGCGTGCATAAGCGCACCAATGTGCCTACCGTCCTTGTCCTATTGTTTTTCTTTTATTTTTCTTATATGTATCCATGTATTCATAACTATGTTTTTACTTATATCTATTATCTCGTAAGCAATTGACAAACCAAATAAAATAAAAAATGTGATTTAGTGGACATGGACTATCTCCTGCCGAACACTGAATTGAACTGACACGCACTTACCTCCTGTAGTTGTTTTTGCATTCGTTCACGCATCAATTCCGGCTGGTTGTTTAGGTGGCTCTGAGACTCAGCATGCTGCCTCTGGAGTTCCTCTACCCTCTGACGTTCTCGCTGTAGACGTGCCTTCTCCTGCCAAAAAGAGAAGCAGGGCGGGGCAGCGTCACTACCTGTCCATGGGCGATGTAAATATATCCAGCCGCTCCTGCTGGTAGGGATAGATACACCTTCCTCACCCAGAAATGATCAGGGCACTGATAAGACTGCCTGGGAGGCCTTCTTCTCACCGATGGGGTAACCTTGGAGTTGCATGGAACAACTCCCTTACTTGCTACGGGCAATCAGGAATTCCAGCAGGTAAATGAGCAGACTGGAATAGGAGGCATGGATTACGAGGTTCACGGAGTGTGGGGAATCCTGGACTAATGACCATAATTGGAAACTGTGTTGTAAGACAAAACGGCCGTAAGTCGATTTCTGCCCTTTCTCATGGCAGTCATTAAGCGAACACTGTAGACATTTAAGCAAACTCATGTATTTGAATGTGTCAGAATATTCATGAACTGGAAGAGGCATGGTAACAAGGTCAGCCAATGAATTGGCATAGCCACTAAGTCAGCCAATGAGGGCTTTTTGGAAACTGAAACTGGAAGGAGCCTGGGCGTGGCTCTGTATTAAGCTCTGAGTCTTGTCTGCCACTGCTGAATTGAAACTGAAACTGTTCTCTGCTGTTCTCTCATCTGTTTGTGTTTTTGCCTGTAACTCTCTACCACATTGGAAGAACCTACATTGGTATTGGCTTGAAATTTTGGGCTTGGACAACCTTGAACTATGCCACCTACAGTTAGACTTAAACGTAGTACACAAAATTATCTGTTACAATGTCCTACCATCAATGACTACTTCAGCTTCAACCGCAACAATACAAGAGCACACAACAGATACAAACTCAATGTAAAACTATCAATGTAAAACAATTAAACTATCCACTATTGACTTCACCCCGTTCCTAAGAGGTCTGTAGGGGGCGTGCATAAGTGCACCATCGTTCCTACTGTCTCTGTCCCACTGTTCCCATTTATTTGTACCTATTTCCTGTATTCTTACTCATGTTTATACTTATACCTATTATCTTGTAAGCGATTGACAAATCTAATAAATAAATTAAAAATTAAAAAAAATAAAAGTATTGTACATTTACTTATGTGTTATATGTATATAAAGAAGTAAATGAATCCTGCTGAATCAGTCATCTGTGTGTACTTTCTGGATTTGAATCTCTGCAACAAACTCTAACAGAATGGACATTTTGTCCAGAAACCAGCAAAAAGGTCAGAAACAAGCATCAAACTTCATGAATGGCAGGTAGTCCTTGACTTACAACAATTTGTTTCGCGACTGATCAACAGCACTGAAAAAAGTGTGTTGGAAGTTAAAACCCACCCCTCTCCTAGAAAATTCTAGGAAATATTAAAAAAGGCCGAATAATTTCCCAAAGCCCTTTTCATTACATCATCATCCAGCAAGGCTCAACCAAGCCTGGGACTCAGGACAGCCTACAGAGTTGCCCCTGCATGGCCCCATGGGAGTGTGACAACCAATCAGAATACAAGCTCAAATTCAAATCCCAACAGAGGGTATAAAACCCAGGCACTTTCAGCATCTCAGCCCTTCCTTCTTTGGAGCTCCAAGCCAGGTCGTCCTGTCCACCATTAAACCATCTTTCCAAATAGCCTCCATGTTTCCAGTGTCTTTTTCCCCACTTGGAACTGGACCCAGAAGGATAATAAGCATAGATTTTCAGGAGGGCAGGCAAATGTTTTTTATATCCTCTAATCTATTCCGTCCTTCCTTCCTTCTTTCTTTCCCTCCCTCCCTTTCTCTCTCTCTCTCTTCTTCCTTCCTTCCTTCCCTCCATCCTCCCTCCCTCCCTTTTCTCTCTTTCTTTCTCTTCTCTTCCCTTTCCTTTTCTTTCTTCCCCCTGTGGAGGTGGCCATAGGGCAAACGCATAGTTTTCCATGACTCATGAGATCAGGGATGCTATGGAAAATAACACTAGCAACTGATAAATATGTAGTAGAAGAAAGCAGCAGAATAGAATTGGTTTCTTCCTTGTATGGATAGTATCATTCCATGGTTTGGTCACTAGGTGGCACTGGACTTGATAGACTCTTGGTGTAGTCTGGCATTGTCAGGCCTAAGCCCAAAGACAACACAATGAGGACAGTTCAAGTGCAGTACCTTATCTGCTTACACCTAATAGACAGATTCTTGCCGGACTAAAGTTGTAACCCACTAACCTAATAGATATACCCTGGGAGATTCTATGGTGTGCTACCTTGATTCTTTTCTTCCCACCCCCATAAATTTCAGGACTGTACAGTCTCTTGTCGTTGAACTCTCTCTGGTCGGTAAAATGCGCTGGCTCCCCCTGCGAAGCCGCAGTGCTATTGCTGACATTTCTCCCCAACCACCACTCCCTCCCACTCCTTCTCCAGGTGCACATACCATCGCACTTGTTCTTGCTGGAGAAGGACATTAGAATTTCTAACTAACTTCACGGCATTCATGCCCTCTCATTTTATTCACCTCTCTACTTCACCAAGCTAGTTTGCATATTTATAACATGCAAAATGACAGAAAGGAAACGTAAACAGGGGAGGTGGATGAATAACTGGATGGGTGAGTTGGGAGGCCTTAAGAAGCCAGAATCCTCAACTGTGTTTTATATTTCCTCTTTAAAAGGCTTAGACTGTGATGGACGCTATTGCAGAGCGTAACAAAGATGGCCTTGGCAGATGTACCAAAGCAACAAAGGGAAAGACATACATTAAATTAAAAACAAACAGAAATATGCGGAAGAGGCTCCAATGGACACCTCCCTAATTCGCGTGACTATTAGAGGAAGAGATAGAGCACAAATCAGTCTTGCATGGTTGTTATTATAGCCACTCTCAATAAACGTAACCTTAGCCTTCCTAAGGAATTGAATTCTGGTCTGATCTATCTGGTGGGATTCACCACTTTCGGAGCCCTGGTGGTGCAATGGTTAGAATGGAGCACTGCAGGCAAACTCTGCCCACAGCCTGGTGTTTGATGCTGATGGGGTTCAAGGTTGACTCAGCCCTCCATCCTTCTAAGGTCAGTAAAATGAGGATCCAGATTGTTAGGGGCAATATGTAAATAACGCCTGCATTGTAAATCAGGGGTGTCAAACTCAAGGCTCACAGGCTGGATCCAGCATATGGGGTGCTGAAATCTGTCCTGGGGGGGGGGGCTGGAAATACCAAAGAACCGGCCTGCGGTGCCTCTGGCAGCCAAAACAGGGCCCCGCCTCCCCCCGTGGCCCATTTTTAACCTGGGCAGCCTCCTGCACCACTCTGCTATCCAAAATGGGGCATTCAACCTCCCCCCCCGAATTTGGCTGGCAAAGTGCTGCAGGAGGCGTCCATCCTGTCTCTTCCCCCCCCCTTGAAGAAATCCAGTTTGACACCCCTGTTGTAAATCACCCAGAGAGTGTCGTAGAGCAAGGGTCCCCAGCCTGGGTCGCGGCCCAGCACCGGCCTGCAGCCCAATCAGAAGCGGAACGCACAAGCGGTAGGGAAGCATGTGTGCACAGCTCCACTTGTGTGAGTGGTGAGCTCCATTTGTGAGAACGGCGGGGGTGAGTGCCTGCCACTCACACAGAATCATCCCCTCTGCCCTGACCCCCCCCCCCAGTCCCACAAAGCTGGAAAGGATGGGGACCACTATTGTAAATGTAAAGCATAAAGCATTGGGGTGTCAAACTCTAGGCCCACGGGCTGGATCCGGCGCTAAGGTCTGGCCCACGGGGGCCACCCTGGAAACAGCAAAGAACCCGGCCCCGGTGCCTCTGCCAGTGAAAATGGAGCTTGCAAGGGCCACATCCTGAGCTCCATTTTCGCTGGCGGAGGGTTGCAGGAGGCCGTCCCAGCCGAAAACAGAGCCCGAGAGCCCATTTTCACTGGCAGAGTGCTCGGGCTAGCACAGGTGCCCCCAACACGAGTGATGTCACGCTGGCCACACCCACTCCTGACCCCCCCCCCTTGGTCAAACACCACCCTGATACTACTCCCGTTGCTATAGAGCTGTGATGAAAAACACACTAGCATGGCATGCAACCAAGACAGTGATTTTTACAAGATCATTAAATTACAAAATTGACAGGTTTGAAAGGCTCTTGAAGGTCTTCTACTTCACTTCCTGCCCACGCAAGCATCCTCCTACCATTCCAGATGAGCAGTAGTTCAAAACTGGACATTTTCCAGCAAACTTGTGAGTAGCCCTTTGTCCAAGAAGTTATGAGGACAGAGATAAAATATCAACAGACTTTCTGATAAGAGGAAATGAAGGAAGCCAAAGGGTAGAATTGAAGAAGGGAAGGAAAACAAGCAGGCCTGGGGAAGAGATCAACGGGGATGTTAGAGCATAAAAGTCCAGCTGGACAATGACCTTCGAAAGAGGTACAGAAATCACAAAACAAACTCTTTAGCTTCCAGCAGTTTGAAGTCCTCTCGAAGAGTGGAGGCCCATTCTCCCCAGACAGCATGGGAATGTAGTAGAAATAACTTTGCTAATTTTCCAACCACCAGTCTCTTTGTTTTTAATTTACACGTCCTGAGCCTCAGAGGGAAGGCGGGATAGGAACTGTGAGACGACTTCTTGTATTTCATCCACTGGTAGCTGGAGAGCTAGGAGGGACATACTACTGAAATCCAACACAAAGGACTAAATACCAGCAAGTGTAAGTTGAAGAAAGGGGAGGCAGCTGTTTTAAACAGGCCGCGCTCAGGGATGGTGCTAGAGGATTGAGCTGTGGGCATTTTGCCTCCTCTTTGGGAGGCAACTCGTGCTGCAGCAAGATCCAACCACCAACTCAACTGGCCTCTGCTTAAAGAATTGGAAGAGGACAAGCTACGGTCTACTTCAGATGTCCTGATCCAGTCCAGAACTGAAGCTGCAAACTAGAGAATTTTGGAAGGAAGAACCGAAGGAAGAAAACTGCCAAAGAACAGCTGCTCACCTTCTCACGTTCTTCACCGCACCTGAGCTCTGTCTCAACGAGACGTTCTTTCAGTTCCACCAGCCGTTCCTCCTCCCGACGTAGCTCCTGCCTCTCCTCCTGCAGTTCCCCTTCTAACAAGGCACCTTCCAGGTCCATCTGCCAAGAAGAGGAGGAGACAGGTCAGGGGAATGTTGCCAAACCATCTTGACGTGCCCCGATGTGTGCTGACTGATGCAATGTCAACACAGCCACGGGGAGGTGCAGAGACACAAAGCGAAACGGGAACTGGGAACAAGCCGAGCATGCAAATGTCCACACTTCTGGCCTAGAAAATGGCTCCCTCCCGTGAGGTGAGCACCTTCGGCGTTGGGTGATGGAGATTTCCTGTCCAAGGGAGCGAACAAATCCTTCTCTCTGTCCTCCTTCTAAGGTGCCTCTGCTCTTCCTCAACTGCTTGGGTGTGGGCCGTTCAACACTGGTTTTACAGGTGCTGACTGTTGTCCAATCCACAACCTCATGATGCAGGGAGGGGACTGAATAAGCTCAGGTGTACCTCTATATTCAGCTCGTTCTTCCGATGATGCAGCTCCTTGAGCCGGTTTTCAAGAGCTGAGATTTTGCTCAGAGCCGCACGTTGGTCGCCTTTAGGATCACTTCCACTACAAAGACCCTCAGGCTGGAAAGAGAGGGAGGGCAGAGTCATAAATTAGTTGCAAGGCTTAATACTGCAGTGATACGAGGCTTCCTGAATTAGAAAAGACTTTTAGCAGCAGGGATACAGCTTACCGTAGTTTACATTTCCATGCGATAATGTAGAGGTAAAGGTAAAGATAAAGGTTTACCCTTGCATATACGTGCTTGTCGTTTCCGGCTCTAGGGGGCGATGCTCATCTCCGTTACAAAGCCGAAGAGCCAGCGCTATCCGAAGATGTCTCCGTGGTCATGTGGCCGGCATGACTGAACGCCAAAGGCGCACAGAACGCTCTTCCCTTCCTGCCACAGTGATCCCTATTTTTCTACTGGCATTTTTTTTACGTGCTTTCGAACTGCTAGGTTGGCAGAAGCTGGGACGAGTAACGGGACCTCACTCCATTATGCGGCGCTAGGGATTCGAACTGCCAAACTGCCAACCTTTCTGATCCACAAGCTCAGCGTCTTAGCCACTGAGCCACCACGCCTCAGCAGGGTTACTGACCTTTATATTCTGTTCAGAGATGAACAATGATGGTCAGTTTTTTAAAAAGATATACAGGTAATCCTCCACTTACAACCGCAATGGGGACCAGCAAGAGTGTTGTAAAGGGAATTGTGCCCAATTTTATGACCTTTTTGGCATGGTTGTTAAGCGAATCACTGCAGTGGTTAAGTGAAGTACATGGTCGTTAAATGAATCCAGCTTCCCCCATGGACTTTTCTTATTGGAAGCCAGCTGGGAAAGTTGCAAATAATGGTCACATGATCTGCGACACTACAACCATTATAAATACATGGGGCTTTCCAAGTGTCCAAATTTTGATCATGTGAGGACACTGCAACACTGTGAAATGCGAGGAGTGGTAGTGAGTCACTCCTTTTGGTGCATTGCAATTTCAAATGGTCACTAAATGAATGATTGTAAGTCAAGGACCACCTGTAATAGAGTTATTTACAATTAACGAACGATTTACTGAAAACCTATTAATTCCAATGTTCGTAAATCTTGATATTTTTTTCATTCGTATTTAAATCTTCTATCGTCTTTTTGTGTTGTTCCTCTTCTTCCTTCTCCGCTTGCATTTTTTTTTCTAAAGTATTCAGTAAAAATGCATTTTTTTAAAAAAAATCAGGGGTTACACCTACCACCAGAAAGAAAGCTTGTGTTGCATAGTGGGCCTGGTTTTCACGAAGAAAGCTGATACTATAATCTTACTACATGTCTTTGAAAGAGCACAAAGATTGCAAACTCAATTAAAAGTGCATCACAATTGCGAGTTCCAAGGCAATCTTAAACCAGAAAGGATATGTTTTTGATAAAAGAGAAAATCTGTAGCTCGGGGTTGAACTGTGGGATCCTTGGTGCTCTCAAAGCTTGGTGGCTTTTCTGCAAACATTTCATTACTCAACTAGGTAATATCATCAATGCTAAAAGGGAGTGGGATTTGTTCTTGCCAGCTTCTTGGTGCAGCCATTGGTCTGGATTTGCTTGAAAGCAAACTCCATTCCCTTCTAGTACTGATGTTACTGAGATGTCATGAAACATCTGCAAGAAATCTACCAAGCTCAAAGACCACCAAGGATCCCACAGGGTGTCTTTATTCATTATTTAAACCACAACAAGAAGAGGAGTATTATACATTTTATAGAATTCTTTATAGGCCAAGCGTGATTGGACACACAAGGAATTTGTCTTCGGTGCATATGCTCTCAGTGTACATAAAAAATAAATTCATCAAGAATCATAAGACACATAAAAAATACATTCATCAAGAATCATAAGATACAACACTTAGTGATAGTCATGGGATATAAATAAGCAATCAAATCATACTAGGAAACTAAATGAAACAATATAAATTGTAAAGATACAAGCAACAAGGCTATAGCCACAAGTAGAAAAGGAAATAGGTAATAGGAAGGATGAGAAGAAGAATAGTAATACAGTCTTAGTAAATAGTTTGACAGTGTTGTGGGAATTAGTTGTTTAATGATGGCATTTGGGAAAAAACTGTCCTTGTGTCTAGTTGTGCTGGTATGCAATGCTCTATAACATCATTTTGAAGGCAGAAGTTAAAATTTTAGAAACGTTATAAGTTGGGTGTTAAGAAAAAGAAGAATTCTGGACCACCAACATGTAACGCTTCTTAGCACTAGGGTGCTAATACTCACCCCATTTTGGGCACTCTCTGTGCTACTGGCCTCGTCATCTTCCGCACAGCCACTGGAATGGCTTCCTGTCGGAGAGTCATTTTCTGAAAAAACGGAGTCCCCTTCGGCACTGCTTGGAGCTGGGAAACCCTCGCAATCCGGTGACCGGCTGCATTTCTGCTCATCCAGAAGTTGTCCCTTTTCCAAGGCTGCCGGATAAGGACACAGCTCTGCTTGGTTGAACAGTCCCATAGCTTTGGGGTTGACTGTTCAACAGCACATGGTCTCTGGGCCCTGCAGTTATGAAGCATAGAGGCAGTTCTGTCATAAATACAAGAAGATTTTTACCAAATGGCAGTTAAAAAAAGAAAAATGACAAAGGCTACACCATACTATATACCGTGTTTCCCCGAAAATAAGTTCCTGTCTTATATTTTTTGCCACCAAAAAAGGCACCGGGTCTTATTTTCGGGGGATGTCATCCACTGACTAACCTCACTTGCGTGCGTCGCCTCCAACCTCCTTTTCGCTGTCAGAGGCCTTCAGGAACTTCTTCTGCAACTGATAACAGCTCTGGATCGATCCAGAGCTTTGTTATCAGCTACAGAGGCCTTCAGGAAAGCCTTGCCAGCATTGCCGGCTGCAGAAGAAATGGGCCAGCAAAGCAGGTGTCGGGATGTGCGAGGCCCGGTAAGTAGTAGGGCAGTTCCAACCCCCATACCCACCCTAGCTTAATTTTTACCTGTGCACTCAAGTAGGCGGGATCTTGATTAGGGCTTATTTTGGGGGTAGGGCTTATATTGAGCGCACATGTAAAAATCAATCTAGGACTTACTTTCAGGGTAGGTCGTATTTTCAGGGAAACAGGGTAGGTAGTCCTTGACAAAATACAAAAGTAGTACAAAATCTCTTGTACTAAGCGACAATTAAGTGAATTTTGCCCTGTTTTACGACCTTTTGCCACAAATCGTTAAGTGAATTGTTGCATTTGTTAAGTTAGTAATTTGGTTGTTAAGTGAATCTGGGTTTCCCATTGACTTTGCTGGTCAGAAGGTCCCAAAAAGTCATCACATGAGACACCCCCCAGGACACTGCAACCGTCATAAATACAAGGTGGTTGGCAAGCATCTGAATTTTGGTCCTGTGACTGTGGGAATGCTAAAATGGTCATCAATGTGAAAAACAGTCAAAAGCCACATTTTTCGGTGCTATTATAACCTCAAACATTCACTAAATGTTTGTAAGTTGAGGACTGTCTGTATACTGTAGATATTATGATCATGGGTAGAAAAAAATGATGTTGCTGGAATACGTTTAATTCTAGCCATTTCTTATTTAATTATGGCGTCTCTGTGACAAGCCTTCTTGCAAAAGAAAATGCCTTCAGGCTAAGAACAAGCAGCTGGTATGTTGGTTGACTAGAATTCCCATATTGTGGGCCAGGCCAGCTGGGTTCTTGGAAATCGTACTTCAACAATATCTGGAATATAATAGATTTCCCACTATGGTCTAGTCCAGAGGTCTCCATCCGTGGCAACTTTAAGACTTGTGGACTTCAATTCCCAGAATTCCTTAGCCAGCAATTCTGGGAGTTGAAGTCCACAAGTCTTAAAGTTGCCAAGGTTGGAGACCCCTGGTCTAGTTCAATCTTTTCCACAAATCAGCTACTAGCCAATAATGCAGATAAGACCCTGGCTTACGACCACAATTGAGCCCAAGATTTCCATTACTAAGCAAGATAGTTGTTAAGTGAGTTTTGTCCCATTTTACAACCTTTCTTGCTACAGTTGTTAAGTGAGTTACGGCAGTTGTTAAGTTAGTAACACCGTTTGTTGTGGTTCACCGGCAGCCTGTGCAGACAGCAATGGAATTAGACAGTGAGGAACAACGGGGACCAGGCAGGGAGTCTGGGGAGGACTCAGACGAGGGTCCTGCGTCCAATGCAGAGGTGGGGCCAGGGCCATCTGGGAGTGGGGTGCTGACTCCAGAGCCTCCGGAGTCTGGCAGCAGCGAGGCAGAGGAATAAGGGGAGCCTGTTCCCAGTGCACACGTGTGCAAAGCTGCTAGAAGGCAAGAGCAGCTGAGACAAAAGGGGCGACTCGGGAATAATCTTGGAGGTGATTGCCCCTCCCCTAAGGTATAAAGGACAGGCAAAGGTAGAGAAACCTTTGTAGGAAGCAAAGTCGTCCATCTGTTCGGATTAAACCTTGAAGCTCTGTGTGAACTTTGTAATTCGGTTGGTTATTTACAGTTAATTTGGCACTTTAGTTGTTGGCAGCAATTCAAAGGAGATAAAGGTGGGTGCTTATCTCAGGGAATTGTTTGGGACTCATTACGGGCTGGCAATGCACATAATTCCCAGCGTTGAAATAAAACAAGAGTTGTTTTATTAAGCTTATGCTTAATTATGGTCTCAGGAAGCCTTGCTCAGAACATTGTTGTTAAATGACCCTGGCTTCTCCATGGACTCTGCACATTAGAAGGTTGCAAAAGGAAATCAAATGACCCTGGTATATGGCTACCATCATAAATAGGAGTCAAGTGTCCAAATTTTGATCACGTGACCATGGGGATGCTGCAATGGTCGTAAGTGTGAAAAATGGCCATAAGTCACTTTTTCAGCGCCCTTGTAACTTTGAACGGTCACTAAATGAAGTATTGTAAGTCAAGGTCTACTTGTGAATGTTCCCACCTAAATAGTATTCCTGATCAGCTATGCCAACGTTGTGCTAATTGCAACATTCTGGGCAGCCTACAAAATTGTGTGTAGGTTCGTGTACGTGTTTGTATGTCCTACAAGTTGAATCACGTATGTTATTCTTTTATTCCTCTTGCTTTTTGTGTTATTTTTCTTTTTAAAAAAGATATTTTTATATCATTAAATTGTTATCTGTCCTGCAGCTATTTCAGCCGCGGTCCCTAAGGTGGAGTTGAAATATTCCAATTTGCAAAACAGAAAAACGAACATGTGAAAAAAAAAATGGAAACGATTGAAAGACTTCATGTGAACGGAAAGAAGGTTTGATCTGTTGAAAACTAGCTTTTATCAAGTCGGCCCCAAACCTTCAGGGGGTTTATATGTTAAAATCAGCATGCTGATATTGTGTTAATCTGTCACACTCCTGCTCTGCCAACACTTTTTTTTAAAACTCTTACATAAATAAACAGGCAAGAAACTGGTTTTGACATTCTCAGAAGTCTGGTCTCCTGAGCAAGAAACGCCCTTTGAACACAAAAACATCTCATAAAGGAAAAAAAAAACAGAACCATTAATTAGATTAATACAAATTCCAAGATAATCCTTCCAGCTGTAGGATGCAAGCTGGAGCCGGCAGCTACAAAGGAGAAGACCTCTCTTAAAACCGTGAGGTATCTGCCAAAATTGCTCCTCTGGCTTTGAACAATCACTTTTATTTCCTCCTGATGGGACAATATCTCCTAGGAGATGTTGTAGGTCCCAAACATAATCCTTTCATCATACCAAAGCCAGTTATACTTCTTCCTGTCTTTATGACTGGAGATGCTGAGACTCTAGAAAGAGTGCAGAGAAGAGCAACCAGGATGATTAGGGGACTGGAGGCTAAAACATACAACGAACGGTTGCAGGAACTGGGCCTGGCTAGTCTAGTGAAGAGAAGGACCAGGGGAGACATGATAGCAGTCTTCCAATATTTGAGGGACTGCCACAGAGAGGAGGGGGTCAGCTTATTCTCCAAAACACCTGAAGGTCAAGGAATAACTAAACAAGGAGAGATTCAACCTGGAAATAAGGAGAAATTTTCTGACAGTGAGAACAATCAACCAATGGAACAGAGGTTGTGGGAACTTCATCACAGGAAGCTTTCAAGAAGAGACTGGACTGCCATCTGTCAGAAATGGTGTAGGGTGTCCTGCTTGGATGGGGGATTGGACTAGATAACCTACAAGGTCCCTTCCAACTCTGTTAATCTGTTAATCTGTTATGTCTATGGAGATTCTTAGTCATCCAGGTCATGGTTGTCCCAAAGGTGCTTTTTCAAAAAGGCGAATGGATTTTCTTGATTTTTCCTTGAAGACGATTCGCTTCTCATCCAGGAAGCTTCTTCAGTTCTGAACGGAAGCTTCAGAACAGAAGAATCTTCTTGGATGAGAAGCGAAACATCTTCAAAGAAAAACAAAAGAAGTCCAGTTGCCTTTTGAAAAAGCACCTATGGCCCTTTTTACAACTTGGGAGCTTCAAACTCCCAGAAGTCTTGAGCCAGCAGGATTCTGGGAGTTGAAGTCCATAGATAGTAAAGGGGCCATAGTTGCCCACCCATACCTTATGACAGAGTTCCCCAAACTTTTCAGCTTTGTGGACTGGCGGGGGGGAGGAGGGGGGGAGAGGATAGTTCTTTGAGTTAGGTTCTGTAGCCCAGTTCCAAAAGGTTCAAGGCCTGGTAGTGGGCTGCAGCCCAGGGGTTGGGGACCCCTCCCTTATAATATTATTTGGTCATCTTACTTCAAGCAGCTACCCATGAGGGCAATAGTGATCCTTGATTTTTGATTTCAGGAGGAGAAAAAAAATCGCATCTTGCCCAAAACTTTCAGCAGGCTAACAATGGTAGTTATTGGCACACGGCTCAAGGCAATATGGATTTCGTCAGTCTCACCTGCTTAAGCCAGACAGCACAGTGGATGTCACGTTGGGGAGACAATTGCAGAAAAATACATTGGATGCTGCCCAGAGAATTGCAGTTACTAAGTGGTGTACATGCAGATTAAATAAATAAGAATAGTATATGCTGGTATCTAACACACAATAAAAATAAATAAAATTCTGAACCGTAGTCCACTAGAAAATTTACTTGCAGAAAGCTTATTGAAATAAAGGTTAATTTAATTTTAGGTAAACCCATCAATTATTGTCTATTTCTTCTTCTTATTGGTATATACTTTGAAACAATGATCCCAGGTTTAATCAAACGGGTTTATTTCCTGTTGCTTTTAATTGCACACACTTTTAAATCCTAAATCTGTTTGGTTCGGTTTTTGCATCACAATGTGACGCATGGCTCACTTATACATCTTCAGTCAACAGGTACCTTCTCCCCCAAAATTATACAAGTCTTGGACAAAACCAAAAGGGCAACATTGGGAAATTTGAAAAAACAACAACACTTTTTCCCTCCTGGGATTCTACCGGTTTGGACTGGTTCGAGCGAACCGGATGTTAAATTTGCATCTGGTTCGCCTAGCCAATATTTGAACTGACTGGCTGGCCCTGCTCACTCCGCTCCTCCCCTCCCAGGAGTCTCCACACAGCCCATTTTCAATGCAGGTAAAGTGCAGGGTCCGCGTGGAGGCTCTGGGAGGGGGAAAAACGGGCCTTCCGGAAGTTCAGAAACAGGCCTGTTTCCGGCTTCCGATGGGCCTCCAAAGCCTGGGGGAGGCCATTTTCGCCCTCCCAGAGGCCTGAGGGAAGCCTCCGGACTCTGGGGAAGGCAAAAAATGCCCCTCCCGGAAGTTCTGGTAGGCCATGACCACCATGACCATGCCCACCCAGCAACTGGGCAGCGAACTGGTTGCTGGGATTTTTGAATCCTACCCCTGATGTTACTATCATATCGGCTTTTTCCTATGTGGGCAAAAGATTCACACCTTACAAGTGGTCCTAGATTTATGACGACAATTGGCACCAGAATTTTCACTGCCAAGCGAGAATGGTCGTTAAACAAATTGCAGCTGGTTTTACAAGCTTTATGGCCATGGTTGTTAAGCAGTTGCTCAGTGAATCATGCGGTCGTTAAGCGAATCTGGCTTCCCCGTTGGCTTTGCTTGTCAGAAGCCAGCCGGGAAGGCCACGAACTGTGATCCCTTGACCCTGGGACGTTGCAACTGTCATAAATACATGCTGGTTTGCAAGCAACCAAATTTGGATCACATGACCTTGGAGATAGTCGCAAGAATCACGAACACAGGAAATCATCATAACTCACCTTTTCAGTGTTGTAACTTCCCTTGCTAAATGAATGGTTATAAATCTAGTATCACTTTACAAAACCCTAGGAAGACCACACCTGGGATACTGCAACCAATTTTAGTCACTGCAAAAAAAGATGTTCAGAGTCCAGAGAAGAGCAACTAAGATGATCAAAGGCCTGGAGACTAAAACATAGGCAGAACGGCTGTGGGGTGTGGGTTTGGCTAGTCTAAAGAAAAGAAGAATTAAGGGGTAACATGATAGGAGTATTCCAGTATTTGAGGGGTTGCCACAAAGAAGAAGGGGTCAATTTATTCTCCAAAGCACCAGAGGGCAGGACAAGAAACAATGGTTGGAAACTAACCAAGGAAAGAAGCAACCTGGAATTAAGAAGAAACTTCCTAACAGTGAAGTCTATTAACCAGTGGAACAGCTTGCCTCCAGAAATTATGGGCGCTCCATCACTGGAGGTTTCTAAGAAGAAACTAGAGTTAGGATATTTCTTTCTGCCACTTATCCAAAATAGTATAGGTTCTCCTGCTTGAGCAGGGGGCTGGACTAGAAGACCTCCAAGGTCCCGTCCCATTCTATTTTCTATTTTCTATTTTCTATTTTCTATTTCTTTTCTTTTCTATTCTCTATTCTCTATTCTCTTCCCTTCCCTTCCCTTCCCCTCCCTTCCCTTCCCTTCCCTTCTCTTCTCTTCTCTTCTATGTCGAGGATATCTGTACTAGGAAGTAGATGATCAGTAAAGACATTTCTCAGAGGAACTCATTTTATGTCATTAACAGGCCCTGACTCGTCTTCCTCTTCAATTTCCCCACACCTTGCTGACTCCACCTTTCTACCTGCCAAGGCAAAGTGGCCTGATCCTAGACCAGAGCCGTTGGTAGAAAGATTCAAAAAAGGGGCACAGCTTTGATCACATAGTTTTTGCCAGTCCCAAGACCCTCTGAGCCTTGAATGTGGCCCCAGAAATCTGCAGAACCAGGGAACCTGTTGTTATGATAAAAGCAGGAATTGATTGCAGGGCTATCCTATTGAACGAGGGTCTCCAAACTTGGCAACTTTAAGACTTGTGGACTTCAACTCCCAGAATTCTCCAGCCAGCTATGCTGGCTGGAGAATTCTGGGACTTGAAGTCCACAAGTCT